GTCCATTCTTGAGGCTGCGAAGTGATGAGGTGGTGGGCGACCCTACAAACCGCCTACAGAAGCTTTGGCCCAGTCATTGGCTATTGGGGCCCGGCTGGCTAGAAATGGCTTTAACGACTTAGAGCGACTTCCTTCGCTCAATGGAAGGAAGGGAACTCAAGCAGAAAAGATGCAAAATACACGAAATGGTGTTCGTTTCAAGCACATGCCCCTGAAATGCATTGATGCGTGCTCGGCCGTTCTTTTTGTTCGGAGGGATCGAACTGTTTATTTGGGTGGTGTGCGAGGTTAGGACTTAGGTTCTTTGCCTCCAAATCCCGGGCCCAAAATGAGTTTCAGAGGAAGCTTTTAGCAACAGTTGTTGCTAACACCATGAAGCAGAGGTAGGTGCGCCTACTCTAGCTGTATGAGAGTAAAGCCCGAAATCTTCAAATGGTTTATGTTTCGTACGGGATATGATATAGGAATGCTCATCCTGGGATCGGCATAGTGCCCAGAATGCGTTATTTGCTATACTGCTATACATCCACTCTCTAAGCTTCGAAGCTCAGGCAAAGTTCGCACATAAGTCACAACTAAGCCTACCTTCTTCCTTAGTCCATTTACAGGCCTGGAATTATTGGCAACTTGATTTTGACAAGCTATGCTCAGACTCAGCAATAATGGGCAGTATTGCGGTGGCCGTGGGTTCTAGTCCTCATCTGGAGTCTAGATGGATTGCTCTGAGTGCTTCGACCCTGGCGCTGTGGGTCGTGGGCGCGAACCCGCGCGAGCAGACTTCTTTGCTTACGAGACTGAGGAGCATGTTTGGCTTTATTCTCATTGTGATAGGCATGGCCCAGCATGGCTTTCTTCGAAAATGTTGGGCTGGCTAATCTGTTTCTCATGGAAGTGGTTCCCAGCAAGAGTGCTCAGTTTATCCATCCTCTGTACCAGCTTGAAAGTTAGGTGGTATTTCCAGTAGTAATCAAAGCTTTTTTCAATGCATACGCATTCCTCCAGCATCAGGCTGTGCCTCAGGTTTGGGCGCGTCGTGATCGTTTCATTTCAGACTTTTAAGGCAGTTTCCCAAATAAAAGGGACCCAAATATAGAACCGTGTAGAAGCCAATAGGGACTGTCCAAACAGGGGCCATCTCTTTTAAGGACACTCCCACTTAGATGGTACTTGCCACCTAGGCTGAGGGATCCCTGAGATCCTAAAAGGAATGCCTAGATTCGGGTTATATCAGCTATAGTCTAAACTCTTTAAAGGGGTTATATAGGCATGTATTGTAGGGGTTATTAACGGAGATACGAGAAGTTCAGACTGTAGCTCATATGGGGATTCAGGGTGTAATGTGTAGGGTTTAGGGTTTAGGGCTTAAGGTTTAGGATTTCGTGTTTGAGGGTATTCTCCCAATCAAGGACAGCCAAATGGACAATAAATGGACACTAAGATTATCTTGGGGGTACCTACAGTCAGGATTGCAGTATTTTTGGAGTCTATAGTATTGGAGCCCCCCTATCTATGGAAACTACCACGCAGAAGTCATAGTTTTGCATCTCCATCTCTTAGGCGAACTTTCTTGTTTGCTGCCTGCACGTTGGGCTATCAGTCCTACATCTATGACAGCAAAGTTCATGAATAGGCGAGGACGGCGATGACAATGAGGACAGTGTTGATTTACTAGTGACAGGAGTAGGGTCCTCTCATATAACCCCCGGAAAGTTACAATCCTTTTAAAATGAAGATCCCAGAAAAAGGGACCCGTAACTTCGGGAAGCTCCCAGTCAGCTCAACCATGAGGAAAATGCTAAAACTCTGAACCCAAAACCCTGAAACAAAAACCTAAGCCCTAAGGTCCCAGAAAAAAAATAAAAATTTAACCCTAAACCTTGAACCCCTGTCGGAGGAGCTTGCCCTGCGCCGGGCCCCGCGGACAGAGTCTCGACGCTGTCTGGACCTCAACGGGACCTGGAAGTTCGCGTGGCCGGGCAGAACTCCAGAGGGTTATATTAGGGTTTAGGGTTTAGGGACCCATTGGGGTAATATTAGGGTTATATCGGGGGTTATATGGGGATAATGGAAAAGAAGCTGGAAACTACAATAGTATATAGGGATTATATAGCAGTTATACAGGGTTATATAGGGGTTATACATGGATAATGGAAAAAATGGAAGCTACTATTTGAGCTTCATAGGGTAATGCAGGGGGGGTTTCGGGCTATATGGGGGGTACCCTAAACCCTAAATGTTATACAGGGATAAAGGAAAAATGGAAGCTACTGTTTAGGTTTTTGGGTTTAGGGTTTACTTACAGAGGATTCGAGGTGGGGCGGAGAGTAACGCAGGGCTATTATGGCCAACGGCTTGCTGTTGGACAGGCTGCTGAAGGAGGAGTCTGGGGGTTCGATTTAGGGCTTAGGGTTCAGGATTTAGGGTTCAAGGGTTTAGGGTATTCTATGGGGATTTTTTGGGACATACTCGTATCGGGATTAGTTTGGAGGCGGCAGATCAGGTTTGTGACGTGGGCACTGCAGGTTGAAGGATGTGTTCCACTGCAGGACCTTGAATCCTTGAATTGAAGAAGGGTAAGTTAGTCGCCGGGCAGAAACGCTTTACGTGGTTTTTCAAAAGGGGGGTCCCATCGTTTGTTTTTAGCGAGAAGGTGCATGCCTCATTTTGGTTTGGGACCACAGCAACTGGAAATGTGGCCGCAGTTCTTGGATGTCTGAAAGATCGGCGAAAGACACAGTTTCCATCTGGCGTGACCCCATGCTTCTGAGCGGGAGCATTGCTGGGCTGCTGCCAAACTTGTGTAGACCTTTACCAGTAGACAGTATCATTTACTGCATATCCATATGATGGTAACATTTGCCAGCAACTCAGATTAGGAATGGCAAGCGTTGTGATTGCTTTGAAGACCGGCCCGGGGTATTCTTCAGGATTCTGGCGTAGGAGGTCTCAAATTGAGTGCTCGTGTTAATGTCACGTTTCTCAGAACAACCTCCAGTCAATCTGCAAGCGGGATCACCATGAACCTTTTGAGTGGTATCATAATGGAGATGCTATAGGCTCCAACATCCTCCTTTTGCTTATAGGATTTCATCAGAAGACTATAGTCTTATTTCTCGGTGCAGCCACCAAAAGAATACTGAAACATCACCCTGCGGTCTGGATGAATCTGTCGTAGGTGGAGCTCCCGTGCTGGCAAGTCTCCCGAAGGCAAGGTGATGCCAATTTTTCGGAATCGGGATTAGGGGCTCAGAGTTCAGTAGGCTTAGGGTTTGAGGTGTCACAAATTCAGGGTAGATTGTTAACATCTTGGTGTTCCGCCTAGTTGTGACAAACCCCGATGCACGAAAGAGAGAGGACTTTGCATGTCAACAATTGGGCGAGTCCTGAAAGACCTCCAGCTCCAAGTTTACAGGGTTGAAAAACATGTGCAGGTCGCAGCTTCAAAGCGCTCATTAGCTCAGACCCCAGCACCCTGTACAGCTGCACCGAGTCTTTTAACTCAACCATGACACCACTGGGATGCTTGTACCACTCCTGTTGTTCAGCACCTACATGCTGCCTCTCATGCCCGCATAGTTCATGTGCAAACCGGACATGATCCTTGCTCGCACATACTTCCATTACCTTTCCCACAGACTCCCTGTAGGCTTCGAGCGCTTCGACTTGGACGATGCTAGCTGGGGGGATATCCCGGTGCCAGGAAACTGGGAGCTCAATGGGCAGCCTGCCCAGATGATTGGGAGATGTTGTTCGCACATCATATATTCTAAATACCTAGGAAACTATCATTTGGGGGTGTATCCTGTTCAGGATGATGTAAAGATTATTCGTGGTTTTTTTGTTCCGAATTGCTCATGGAGCACTGTTGCCGAGATGCTGCCGTTGTGGATACAGGTAAGAGCAGAGAGGGTAAGCCCCAAGGGTTTAGGGTTTAGGGTTTAGGAAATATACCCAAAATCTGTGGAAGCCTGTGCTGAGACTGGTCCAAGCTGCCCATTTTAAAGTAATTTTCATGAAGACTCCCTGCCTCCGTCCTTTGCACTGATGGAAACGTTCCTTAAGAACAAGGTAAGGTACCAGTAATCAAGACAGACTCGCATAGGCTTCTGGCTTGAAGGTTCCACATCCTAATTGGCAATCAGCTTCCAACAGTGGCAAGGTACGGTTTTCCCATCTACACAAACGTGTCTTGGACGCACTCCGCTGCATCTAGCGCCTTAGGGATCCAAATAGCCCAATGTAGGTAAGTTAACACAGACTTTAGGGCCCAATGTATGTTGTGTGAGTGTGTCCAGTAGGCTCGTTTGCGGCTGACGGAGCTCTGGTGCGGGAGAGAGAGAGGGCCCAATGTAGGCGTTGTTTGTCTACTTGGATCCTTACGGAAAGTATGAACTCGCTCTCCGGAGAGCGGCTGATGAGGTGGACTTCATCTTCGAATGCGATCCGCCAAACATCAGGCAGGGGCGCGTTCGCCTTTATATTTGCAAGCCACAATTTGATGACGGACGTACACGTTCCTGCTACCTGCTTGCTACCCCATACTTGAAGGTATCGCGGAGATGATAAGGCTGCTGTGCTCAAGACCTGCTACCACTGGCAAAGCAGAATGCGCGTTGCGGTAGTCTCAGGACTACAATCCAACGGGGACATATCGAAGAAGCTTTGAATGCCCACCTGAGTGGCTAGGAGGCGCATCCATTTGAGTGTTCTGCCTCCGTGACCGAGGCGGTCTGAATCTGCGCAATTGCTCTGTCTTTGAACCTTCTTGGACACAGATCGGGACTGAACTTCCATTGGTTTTCTGTAGGAGATGCCATGCAACTAGTGCAATGTCCGCATTGAGGACTTGATATGCAAGTGCCGGCATGCACAGATGCTGGTCTTTCAGTTTTCCCTGCAATGCCTTCTTGCCCTCTCCAGGCGGCCAGCAGGTCTACATCCACTTGGGCGCTGTTTGCTGCACTTGCCGTGCTTGGCTGAATGGCCAGGAGCTGGGCTTCAGCACTGATAGCAAGCTACCAGCATCGCGACTGCAAGTGAAGGCTGTCTGGCACTGATTCAACCTCCACAGTAGAGATGACATGAGAGAGTATATGATCTTGCAAAATACACAGCATAGGTCACAGGTTGTCATATGGTATAATACTCCTCAATCCGCTCAATTAGGATCGACTAGAGGCAACGTAAGTTCGAAGCTTGCTGGGCTTGCAATGCTTGCGCTTGGCGCAAGGTGCGCTTAATGTAGGGGCCTAAACTACTGCCAATAACATGCTCGTACGTTCCTTGCATACATGTAGTATAGGATACCTTATAATTAAATAGATCACACTTATCTTATCTTAGTAACTATTCAGGCCCCTAAATCAGCTGCTGAGGTGGAGTTCAACGTGACTCCTCATCTGCGGTGTCTGGGCGTCAAGCAGTTGGTTGGTAGCGAATTCCTGGTGCATGGTAGCTTTCACCCTGCAACGCATAGCACACCCGATAGATATTGGTCCGATGAGTTGTGTTGTAAGTAGGCCTGAGTGTCATGGATGACCATGTGCTTGCTCGGGCACCACGCTCCCCTGCCAGCCCTGGGCGCAATGTCCTGACGTTACAAGTTCTTTGTTGGGGAGCTGCCGCCTACTTGGAAGATCAGGATATGCTGCTGGGCAGCCCTAAGATTGAAGGATTGGGGTTGCCATCAAGGTTGCCGATGCTGCGGCTGGGGTGTAGAAGATGTGGCACTGCTTCAGGCACATGCGAGCACCGTGAACTTAAGCAGATCCTACATAATAAGGAAGCTGAGCTTGCCAGATACCTTGGTAGACAGTTTACGCATGCTGTCTCAAATTTGCTCTCTCAGAGCCCAAGCTGCAGGTGGTGGTTTGCTGGCATCACACGCGACGTGTATGCCTACGCCCGCCCTGGCGAGCGTTTACGGGACATCTCTGTCCGAGCTGGAGCAGACGGGAAGCTGGAAATAGATGCAGTGACCGGCTGTCTTTTGGAACGCTTTGGTGTGTTTGTTTTTGTTCATGGGCGAAATGGTCTTCCCAAGATACAGACTTTGATGTTTGGCAAAATCTGAAACTATGGGATGAGATGGAACTGGAAGAGGTGGTTAACACCCGCCCGATCATCCAGTGATTTCTGCTAGTACCAGCCTCAGCACTCTCGGGCAAAACCGCGGCCTCAGAGCTTTCAACCTAGAAGTCCTGAATGCATCAGGAGGACCCCCACCCTGTAATAGTGGATATAGTGGTATAATAGGAACATATAGGAACATAAGAGGACCCCAGTATAATCCTCATTATCCCTTATAGTCACTAGTACTGGGTGGGGGTCCACCAAGTGGATGCATAAGGATCATCAGCAGTCCAGCTTTTCAGATCTGGAGTTCGGACGTTCTCAAAAGTGGCGCGGTTGCGTTCTTTGAAGGTTGTTTCAACCCCTCCCCCTCATAAGAACCCCTTCAATATGGTACCAGTATCTTTTATGGGGAATATGAATATGTATGGGGTATTGGAGGGATGGGATTAGCCTAAACCCTAAACCTTCCAAAAACATAAACTAAACCCTACACCCTCCTCCTCTCTCATTCTCTCTAAATAAATGAAAAAAAAATACATATATATATATATATGTATATCACCTTCTCCAAGGAGCTGGCCCTTGCGTCTGGCTTGCAGGGCCACACTCTCAAGTGCCGGTATCTGGGCCGATGTGGGGGTGTCCCGAAATTAGGGGTGCGTTTACCAGGGTTTATACGCGATACGTAGGGGCTACATTGGGGGACATTGTGTTTAGGGTCATCCAAGGTTAGGGATGCTTGTTCGGGGCTAGCTATACTAAGGATCACAGTAGTTTGGGGTTATATTGGGGTCCCCTCAGTCTGGGAAACTACCATGCAGATTGTCAACATCCCTTTTATCATTCTTGTGACAACAGGAGCAGGAATCACTTTGGGCTTTCGGTATGACACTTGTGCATTGTCAGTCCTGGTCATACTTGTCACGCATGCAGTTTCCGGTTCTGTGGCTGATGCAGCACTGGTACTTGTAGAGAATTCTGCCTCAGATTGCATCGTCAAGGTGAAAGATTTCTAGATTGTACGTAGCCATCCTGAAATAGAAAGAATGCCACGCTTGTTTCGAAACAATATTCCCTGTGTACCTGCGCGGTCCTGATTATCTCGCGGGCTGCAGCAACAGCAGAAGAGCTGAGGCTTCTTGATGGACAATCAGAGCTTACCCAGTTCGGCGTGCCGCTGCGGCAGCGTTCCCAGTCCACTGCCGTAGCTCGAACCTGCAGTTGGTGCCGGTGCAGTCTAAGAAAAAGAATTGACAGTGTTTTTTGGGTCTGGCTGATTTGGGGGGATGATGGCCCTGTGACCGCTCGCACTTTGGCCTTCTGTAGGCCCTTGGGTTCCCAATCCCATCTCCCTGAGTGCATTCAAGGTGGGGCGACATTCGGTGCAAATTCCAGACATTAATCTTTGGAATGCAGAGGTGGGCCTGGGCCGGAGTTCCTCATAGAACTGCAAGGGCTAAGCAAAATCAGTTCAGAAAGTAAAGAACATGATGAGAGCGAAAGAAGCGCGAGTTGAGTATCAAACTGTTTGACTTGCCGCTGGAACATGCAACACGCAGGGCCCCCTTGTTTGGCTATGATGACTTCCACACAGCTGTGTAAGCATATCCTGGCTTCGATAGCAAGTCTTATCCTGGAGCTCGTGGTTTTTGTTCATTTGCGCTCTTGCCAACTCCAGGAGCCATATCTCTACACCCTCTTGGTGACCTGGCCAAGATCACCAGCCTCTCAACCCATGCAGCACCGGGGGGTGGGATGTAAGTTGTTGCTTCCTTCCTGGCAGAGCTTGAAGAGTTTCATGGTGCCCGGACAGGTCTGTACAGTAGTCATGAAACTGTCAGAAAAACAAAGCGGAGAGCATTCCTCTATCACATGCGTTTAGCCTCGTTTAGGTGCTGCGCTGCAGCAAAGATGAAGCGGCTCCCCAGTTTGCATGCTTTGTTCATCTTAGGGAGAGCACCTACTGGTAAGGTGACTCTACAGGATGAGAAAGCCCAGCTGAGGGAGGCTGCACTTGGGCTGGCAGAGAGACTCCAGACAGGCAAGATGTTCTGTGAAAATAATGCGCATTTCTCTTCGCAGTAGCTGCATTTGTGCAGGCAATTCAAGCTTTGGAGATCTTGACTTTGGCAGCTTGTATGCTGGTGCAACACTAACAATTTATGCCTGCGAACACTCTCCGCTTGCAGGGACAGGTCGTTATCTAGGATCACACTTAGCTGCTCACCCCATCTCACCCCTCAGCGCGCTCGAGCATAGGGGCCAAGAGAGAGTAAGGTGTGCCTCCGCGTGGGCTTCCGCACTGTGGAGATCCGGCAGGGGCGACTATTGCTGAACGGCAGCTGCTCGACGGCTTTGCTGGCAAGAAAGCTTAAAGCGTGAAATTTTCCAGAGGCTTGAACGCCGGAATCCAAACCTCTGCATTATTTAGTGTGCCTTTTTCGTTGTCTGCTCAAATGTACCCTGTTATGCGGAGGCGAGTTGACGATCCGCGGCGTGAACCGCCACGAGCACCATCCCACCAACGGCCACGTCGTGGACCGCGAGTCCATGGTGACAGCAGCTTTCTTCAAGGTCAGTTTAGCTGTATGTAGGTGCGATGGAGGTCTTTTACTGATACAGGACGGTAAGTGATACAGGACGGTAAGTCTGCTTTGTTGTCTTCTTGGTTGTTGTTGGTGGTGGTGGTGGGTCACGTGTTCTCGTGGAAGGCTGTCCACAGGACCGTGCTGGTTTTGTAGGCCTTCTGCTGCCGGCTGTCGACTGTTACGTCTGCCAAGGATATCCGCCTCATGAAGCAAAACAATTTTAATTCAGTCCGTTGCGCACATTACCCGACCCTTGGCCAAGCATGAGAGCGGCGCATGTTCGATGCCCGACAAAGAGTGCAAGTCTGAGAGCTTGTGAAACCAGGAATGACCCCCTGTTCTATGAGCTTTGCGACGAGCTGGGCTTGTACGTAGTGGACGAGGCGAACATCGAAAGCCATGGCGTTAGCTTCAGCTGGGACAAGACCTTGGGAAACAAGGACAGGTGTACTGAAACTGCATGGGACTGTAGCAACAGCCTAAAGGGACCTCGTAGCTTCATGATCATGTCACCGGGCAAAAGGTAACTGCCACGGCCGTTCAGGTGGTGGTGAGCATGCAGTATTTCGCATTGAGCATAGCCAGCCCTCCTCTTGCAACTGGAAGAAATGAGTTAGGGTCATGTCACGTTTCCTTTGCAAACTAACGCCAGAAATTTGTTCTGAGATGCCAAAATGATCTGATGTGCCTGAATCAGCGTGAGCCGTAAGCCCAAGTCGCTGATGCGAGCCATCTTTTGAACACTCTGTGAAGGATTTTCTCTGGTGATTGACAAGTTTGCATGGCAGGGCCTGTACTTGGAGGGTCAGGGGGACTTAGTAAGTAGGTTGATAACCCCTAGAACCCATATAGCAACCCTAATCATCCGCATTATTGCCCTGCTTACTGAGCCCCCCTGAACCTCCAAGTAGGGCTCTAGAAGTCCACGGCTTTGCGATGTCAACCTCCTCTTCCATCCTGGCCCCCCAAGCTCTTGGGAGCTTCGGGTTTGCTGCGCCCTTGCATTATTATTTGCTGTGAGGCAAGCTTCGTGAAAGGGTTAGGGGATCTTGAAAGAACCCTCAACCCGAAACAGTAGTTTCCATGTTCTTTTCCATTGTCCCTATATAACCCCATATTACTTTTATTATGCCTGCCGATATTATCTACCCTACCCCCCCCCCAACCCTCTCGTTCAGCACCTCCGGATTTGAAAAGCCTGCGTGAGGAGGAATGGGATGCAGCTCACATGGCTCGCGTGCAGCGTTATGTGGACTGGAGCTTAGCATCAGTATCACCAGTTTTGGACTTAAAATTGAAACATGGGCGTAACACATACGGTACACCCTGCTTGGCTTCAGATAGGCCTTTCGTGCGGCTGGATGACAATACTGAGGAGAGAGACAAAAACTTCCCGAGCATCATCATCTGGTCTTTGGGAAATGAGGCTGGCAATGGAGCCTTCGATGCATGCAATGAAGCAGGAAAGGCTTGACTGTAGGTTCTGTAGCATTCAGAGAGCACATGAATTCCGGGCAAGCAGCAGTTTTGCAAGAAACTACATGACATGAGACCTCTTCAGGTTCGCACAACAAGCTCTGCAGCACGAAGCTCCTACTAAACATTAGCCTGCGCCAAGGAATCAACCATCATCGAACGTATATGTGCCTTATCTCCATGCTGACGTTCCGAGTACCATGCCCTTAGAATGCTAGTTTGCGCAGACAGGATGCTTAGGTGGATAAAACGGAGAGATCCAACTCGGCCTGTGCAGTACGAGAACGCTCGGTGGAGAAGCGATCCAGACTGGAATACGGACAACATAGAAAGAATTGCCCCGTGCTAAGTTGCACAGCTTACCGGTCACTGCAGTTCATCTCTGCATTTGTGTCATGACGCCGAGGATGCAAACACGGACATCTATTGTCCTATGTATCCCAGCCACTGGAAACTGGAGCAGTATGGGAGACGCTACGAGGATGATGTTCATGCCCATCCTCTGATGCTCAGAACTGCCAGAGGATAAATTATCAAGGGCACCTTCTTGACAGCCCTGTTGGTCCAGGTTTGTTTTTATGTTTGTGTGCAAAGCTGCCAATACTACAGGGATGTCAATAACCTCCGGTACCCAAAAGCGGACACCAGTATAATGTTGAGAACCCCTTAATAAAGGGTGTGAATAGTACTCCCGGAAGATAGCGCTTGCTTTCTACCAAGTTCAAAGCTCGAAAATATGTAAACAAGTTCCTTAATACTGAGGGGGTAACGATAATACAGTTGTCCGTCCGGAAGGAAAAAAAACGATTTTACTAGATTCCTTTCTACTTATTGTATTAATACGACTACGAGCTGCACTACCCGGTCCTACTCCAGCTCCAACCCCTTGATTTCCTATTGCGACACCCTCCCCCCCAAAAAAAGAAATGCAAAACAAGATCTGAGCGTGTGTGTGTTCTCTGTTATCACTGAAACATCAGTCATATTACATAGCTATAGGGTCCTAATTTTGGGGGTGGGTGTTAGCAAATCCCTTCACGAGACAAGGATCATGGTGGAGTACGCACATGCCATGGGAAACTCCTTGGGTGCTTTCAAGGAGTACTGGGACAAGATCTACGAGTACGGGGTCACCTCCACTGCAAAGATATTGCCTGAATCTAGTTTGTGGTCTCCTGTATGCGTTAAACATAATGACCCACTAGGGAAGTCCCCCTACACCATAGTAAAGACCCTTATTGATTTTGAGTGGAAGAAAAAGCTGCAACTAACGCGACCACCGACTTGTTAAGAAACATATGCCTTTGTGGTATTCGGGCATGTCCACCCTCCTGCTTTGTCTCGCTTAAGGTCTTGCAGGGTGGCTACATCTGGGACTGGGTCGATCAAGGCTTGGCAACCCAGAAGAATGGCAGGAGCATTTGGGCCTTTGGTTCGGATTTCGGGGGCAAAGATACCCCGACCGATTTGAATTTCTGCATCAATGGCCTGGTGCAACCGGATAGGAAACCCAATCCACACCTGTTCGAGGCCAAGAAGGTGGGGATTTCCAAAGGTAGGCGGCCTGGTTTGGGGAATCCCTACAAAGGATTAGGCTACATAAGAGGGACTCTTGCTTCTTGGAGATGCCCAGGTGATGCAGCATGTGACATTCAGCGCGATTGACTTGCCAAAGGGCATCGTCGAAGCGCAAAATCGTGACTGGCCTGCAGGGGCCAGAAGCTGAGGGGAAATGCCAAAGCCAATTGGCCCAAACAATTGAATGGGGTTTTGGGGTATATTCTGCAATCATTCTGCGGCATATGGTCATATAAGGGTTGTAGTGGTACGGATTCTACAAGACCTTTACAGCCAAGATTGATTCCTGGGGTGTACATGGCAGCTCAGACCACCATAGCAGCAGTTCCAGGACCCCTGCGAAGCACTACTCTGCGGCCTCAAGTGAATGAAGTCTAAATAAACTCCTTAAAGAGGATTATATACGGGATAATTATAGGGTTTATTGAGGGGAGATACTAGGAGTTGAGACTATAGCTCAAGTGAATGAAATCCAGCAATCTTCAAGGGGCAAGTTGGTATGGCCAAAGCTCGAAGCTTATCACTTTGTAAGGTGGTAGAGGGAGCTGTAGACCTTCCAGGCCCTCATGCCAGGCTATGATTTCCTCTCCCTGCAGCATTTGGATTTCTTCTGGCAAGTCACAATGAACGGCGCGGTTGCACAGTCCGGCACGTTGCCAGGCAGGGTTGCAACATCTTGGATTTCTAAGTAGGAAACCCAAGTTATAATCACGGAGCGTCCTATACTCCCTTGTCATTACTGGTTAGAGATGATACTAGGGTTCCGTGATTTGCCTACCCGCTCGATTTTCTTGTTTCTGTTGGCTGCTGGAGGCTTGCGCACCCCTCCACACCAAGCAGAACGTTTTGAGTTACCGCTGCCAAAAGACATGGCTGGAGTGGCCCGGCTCCAGCTTAGGTCCAATGCCATACAGCACATCCAATTCATCACTTGCCCCTTAGATTACGTAGAAATTTTCCAGAATGATTAAAAGAGCATATATCTTGGGGGCATGGCTTACATTTAGACATTTGCGCTGTTGCGGTCCCAGTTTTGCGCGCCACGCGAAGCACGTAATGACCTCTTCGCAGGAATCTAGTCAGGCCTCGAATTCGTTTGCATGTTGCCGACAGCCCCGAAAACGATGACAAGAAACGCAAAACAAGGAACAATGCCCCGAACCGGATGAAACGCTAAGCAGAAACAGCGATCTCTGTGTGAAGACAAGGTTGGGGGGCTGTATACAGCTTCACGTAAGACGGAGGACAACCATGGAATCGTCAGGAAGTACGCAAGGATCCTAATCAAACATCTGAAGATGCAGAACCCCGCCTCTAAATGCCGTCTGAACAAAGCGCAAAGATTCCGCCAGTAATGTTCCGGCGGGTGGAAGGCTTCTGGAAGGTTTGAACATGTTTGGGTATTTTCCACAAATCATGTCAACTAAGGCTGGACGTTGTGAAGCCCACGTGCTTGTGTCTGCCCGCATGCGACGCTCGTCCAAGGTCTATTACATGGCAGTGCCAAGCCTACAACTTGCGCTTTTCTGATCTGTACCTTTGAGCAACTCCTTGAAGGCTCAAGTTGATCAGTGGCAACGATAGTAGCTTATGCAATGCTTGCGGTAGCAGCGTCCTTACAGCAGCAACGGTCATAGCAACGGCAAGCGACATTTCCACGACTATCGCGCCCCTTACATACCACCAAATGTTAGCATTCTCTCTGAGGGACCCTTCCCAGAGAAGGAACCACCTTTCTGGAACCCTAGCCCCCATAAACCTCTATATAGACCCAGCGTCCCAGCGTCCATGCCCTTTTCAACTGTCCGTGCGATTCCCCATTCTTCCCCAACTCTGTCAACCAGATATATATATATATATATCTTCAGCAAACCCACGATATCCCTTGTAGGCTTGTGAATCCCCATGTCCTGACATGTTCCTACATATCCCAGGCCAGGCCATAGTACCCCCATACGTACACTAAGTATATAAACCCTAAACCCTAGAAATATCCCAAGATAGTCCCTATGTAATCCCTGTAATATCCTTAAATATTTCCTACATAATCCCTATGATATCCCTGTATAACCCTTGGCTATACGTGCTCAAAGGAGATGCCGGAGGCTGCTTTGCAGCTGGCGAGGAGGTGGCCTGGGAGCAATGGCCTCTCAACTTGCCGGGACAGGACAGGATTATAAAGGGTTTTATAGGGGTTATGTAGGGTTTGATAGGGTTTACATGGGGGTTTATAGGGGCTTTATAGGGGTTATATAGGGTTTCATAGGGGTTTTAATGTAGACCCGTGATTAATGGAGGGGTAATATTGGGATTATGTAAGGATAATGGAAACTACTATGTAGGGTTTAGGGACCCATGATTAATATACCTCTTCCACATAAGGGCCTAAATATTAAGATCCCTGTTTTAATCTCTGTTAAGGGAGGGGTTTATTAATCAAGGGTCTGGGTTTCAGGGTGTAGGCCTGGCATCAAGGAGAGATGCAAAAGGGTGTAGGGTGTTAGGGTGTGGGGTTTAGGGTTTGAGGGTTTGGGGTTTAGGCTTTAGGGTAGGTTTGGCATTTGTTTTGCATTGCATTTCCCTTAATCTCAATGTAATCCTTGGATTTAAAGCTATAAAGGAACTTATAGGGGGTTCCCAAATCTGCCCTAGGCGTAATGTGAGCATCTGCACAGTTGAGGGTAGTAGTATGCGACAGGACATTATGGAATCGTACCAATGTGCCCACACCGCCCCCCCCCTTCCTCTCCCCTCCCGTCCAGCGCCCCTGCCATGAAAAGCAATGTTTTACAGGCTCCAGTGCATGCCCAGCCCCCACCGCCCTCACCGCCCCCACCGCCCCCACCGCCCTCACCGCCCTCACCGCCCTCATCGCCCGCATTGCCCGCACCGCCCTCACCGCCCTCACCGCACCGCCCTCACCGCCGGCTCCCCCCCCCCTCTCCCTCCCCGTCCAGCGCCCCTGCCATGAAAAGCAATGTTTTACAGGCTCCAGTGCATGCCCAACCCCCCCCCCCCCCCCCCCCCCCCCCCCCCCCCCCCCCCCCCCCCCCCCCCCCCCCCCCCCCCCCCCCCC